AATTTATAGGGTTAAGTTGTTGAATTTTAGTGATTCATGCTAATGACTGTGCTACACAGTTCTCCGGCTCTGTACCAAAATTTAATAATTTGGATTCGAGTTTTGGTTGGTATCATACTATGTGATATTTGTATATAGTGTAGATTCTCTTTAACTTGAATTATCAAATTATTAGACTTTTATTAACTTAATATTCTTATATTTTTTTCAAAAACAATATAGGTTCTGGAATTCTTAATGACAGCATGTCTGGTGGAATGCAGCTGCTTCCAGATCCTTTATATTCTCTTCCCACTGATAATACTTACCTTTTGACCATAACTTCCACTGATAATGGCAGAATATTCTTGGCTGGAAAGGATGGCTGTTTATATGAAGTAGCATACCAGGTATTCTGTCATTTATAAACATTCCCTTTTTTTCTTTCTCTTGATGGAATAGGGGAAGTACAGACTTGCTTTAATTTTCTAATTATATAATTATTCATACAGGTAAGCTGAAGTAATTTGTCAGTATACTGTGCATATAAAACCCAGCCCTCTCCCCAAATGTAAAAATCCTTACTAATTTTTTTTTCCATTGCTATAGATTAAACTCAGGGCTTTACATATGCTGGGCAAGTCCTCTCTCCCTGAGGTATATTCCCAGCCCCCTTATCAGCTTTATATAAATATGTTGATGTATGTATATAGAAATATACATATATGTGTATAAATTAAACATTTACTTTCACAAATGTACACTTTTATTTGCACTATTGACTTATTTTCATGATTGGTTTTTCATTTAAGATGTCTTGAAAGATTTCATAGTTAGTATTTGGTAGATATTGATTTTAGAACTCAATTTGGTAGTTAATTTCGAAGAATATCTTTGTGTATAATCACTAGTATGTCATGAAGACTTGAAGTAATGTTGTATAGTGCTTGTTACGAGTTTCATACTTTCACCAGTCTTTTTTCTTTTAAGGCAGAAGCAGGTTGGTTTAGTCAAAGATGTAGGAAGATAAATCACTCAAAGAGCGCTCTTTCTTTCCTTGTTCCTTCCTTGCTACAATTCACATTCTCAGAAGATGGTAAGTAGGAAACAGAGCTGACAAATGAAACGTTTAATTATTGGCTTAACTAGTTTGTTTAATAGAACTACTTTTTTTTTTGTGGTAGTAGTGGTGGTGCTGGGAATTAAACCAGGCACATATTAGGCAAGTGCTCTTCTATTGCGCTATATCCTCTGTCCTGGAAATTCTTGTTCTATTATTTTGTCATTTTGGGGGAGGTTGTTTCATCTTTTGATACAGTCATATTATGTAGTTCAGGCTGACGTTGAACTTGCAGTGTAGCACGGGCTGGCTTTAAACTCACAATGATCTTCCTACCTGACCTTCCTGAGTGTTGGGATTAACAGACATGCACCTCCATGCCCAGAAGAAGCTCACATTTTATTTATTTTTTTGGAGGTTAAGAGTAGGAAAATGTATTGGACAATAGGTATAGCTCCTGAAAGGCAGGAGAGGTCCCACGTGGGTTGCCTGAAGCTCTCATTTTAATAACACTTTGTCATTTTAAGTCTCATCTCTTAACATAATTCAGATGCCTTAAAGGCTCAAGGGATTATAAAACAGGAAAAGTATGAATTTTTTATCAAGTTTCTCGTTTCCTATAAATGTAGCACCATAGAACATAGCACCACTGTATAGAACATGTGTCCAAAACAATAGTGTGCACTTAAAATGGGAGTATATACACACATGTGCACAGAGACAGGTTCTGACATGTAATACATGGTTTCCCTGGTCTAGAACAATTCCTCAGTATGAAGTGTATATGTCTGAGTTTTTAAATAAGCTAAGAAATTTAAATTGGTGAAATGATTTTTAAGTGCTTTGTCAGAATAAGGTAAACACAACTAAAAATTGTTAATATGACTGAATTTTTAGTCCTGAGTTACTTAACAATGTATATTTGGACAGATACCTTGTTAGACAGTTTCATCATTGTACTAAAATCATTATTCTTAAGCAAACTACAATGCCTATGACATCTCTAGATAAAAACTTGAGGACTGAATTGAATGTGTGTGGTCCATTGATTAAAATGTCTCTATATGGCACATAGTTGTAGTTTTTTCCCCCTTAACATGAATTATACTAAGTTGAAAGTTTCTGGGTTCACCCCTCCCCCACCCCTTGGTACTAGGGTTGAGCCCAGGATATCATGAATGATAGGCAAGTTCTCTTCCACTGAGCTGTATCTCCAGTCCTTTTTATAGTGGTACCTTTGCTCACAAACTAAGTTCTTGGGTTTTTTTAAATGAATTTAGGACAGTGTCTACAAGGTCTTAAAACATAGATTGGACTCTTAGTGATTCTTCTGTTTTCAGCCTCCTAAGTTCTGGGATTACAGGTGTGCGCCACCATGCCCAATCTCAGTCACATCTCAGCATGCCCAGGGGCAGGCAGGCACTGGCATTGCACGCTGGGGATCAAACCCCAGTTGCCACGCTCTGCCTAAGCAGGTACTTCAGTTAGCTGAGCTATCTGGCTGGCCATCCAAAACTGAATTCTTTATACAAATTATATGCAGAATCATAGAATGTTCTGCAACCAGAATCATGCAAAGAATTAAGTTCATGAGCTGAGGTACCACTGTATTTTTAAATTTTAAGGTAGGGTTGTCTTCCTAAGTTGCTAATGATATTCTCAGACTTGTGATCCTCTTTTCTCAGGCTCCCAAATAGCTACAATTATAGGCATGTACCACTACACCAAGCTTATTCAACAGTATTTAATAAATGTTCCCTATATACTATTTTATATTACAGTGTTGCAATATTGAATGAATGACTTATTATGCCTAGAACTTACTGTTTCAAGAAATTCCAAGATGAGTATAATGATGTTTGCCCATAATCTCAGTTACTTAAGAGGCTTGGACAGAGATCAGGAGCTTGGGGCCAAAACATGCAATGTAGTGGAAACCTTGTCTCAAAATTTAAAAATAAAAGGCAGAGGATGTAGTTTGGTTAAGTGCTTTTTTAAGATGGGCAAAATCATGAGTTACATCCCCAGTATCACAAAGAAAGAAAGAGAGACAGAGACAGAGAGAAAGGAAGGAAGGAAGGAAGGAAGGAAGGAAGGAAGGAAAGAAAGAAGTTGAATGTGGAAGTAATCTAGAACTTCTCCTTGGTTTAAAATTCATTAAGTCAGAACAAGTTATTCGTGATGCTCTTAATCCCTTAAAAACTACTTGATATCTGTCATCTGATTAAGTGTTTCCTGGCTTTGTCCTTACACAAATATCCTAGGACTCCCAAGGAAGAGAAATGGAAGCTCCCACTTGTAAAATTCTAATTCAAAATTTTAATTTGTTAAATGATTACTGTGCTTGGTTTGTTAATCTTTAGGGTTTTTTTTCCTCTTATTTTTAGATCCTATTGTTCAAATTGCAGTAGATAATTCCAGAAATATTTTATATACACGATCAGAGAAAGGAGTAATACAGGTAACTATTCATATTATGCTCTCATATAAGGATCGGAAAACATTCATGTATTAATTTTTTTTTTAAATATTTATTTATTTATTTATTTATTTGTGTGTGTGGCCAGCTCAGCCCACCAGGGGGCGGGGCTGGCTGGCATGTGGTGCTGGGGAATTGAACCGCGGTCCCTTGTGTTTTGCTAAGCTTGTTCTAAGTAGGTGCTTTAGACCACTGAGCCGTCTCACCAGCCCCATTCATGTATTAATAAAGAAGATTTATTTACTCTTTCTCTATGCAGTGTGTGCTTTTTTAACAGACTCATCCCCTAAACACTTCTTAGGTTTTCTGAGATTTCAAATCTCTGAACATTTCTATACCTTTTAGGTATAAAATTAAAAAATCTCTAAAAAAAGAAAAATTTGTTTAATAGAATATATACAGTATGCAATTATGTTTACATGAGCAATTTTTTATTCATAGGTGTATGATTTGGGCCAAGATGGACAGGGAATGAGTCGAGTTGCTTCAGTTTCACAGAACGCTATTGTCTCTGCTGCAGGAAACATTGCTAGGTAATACTTATTGTCAGGCATTTCATTTTAAGTATAATTATATTATTTATGTATGATGTACTTTGAGTAAATCATTTCCTCAATACATCTGAGAAAGGTAAGGAATGTTGGAGATGTCACTTTAGGTCAGTGATGATGAACCTTTTAGCGCTTTCAATGATACAAACATCCCACTGTGGCACACCTACCAGAGGGTGACCCGCACTGTTCCAGGTTATGCTTGAAATAGGACTGCTGGAGTTTGTTTGTGATAATTTGAAACATAAAGTAGATTGCTTTTGTTATGTAAAGTTCAGCTTGTCATGATTTTTTTCTTGGAACTTTGTTTTTTTTATTTTGTTTCTCTGGTGCTGGGTACCTTACATATGCTAGGTAAGTGCTGTACCACAGAGCCACATCCGTGGTTTTCTTAGGACATTATGTTAACCTTAAGTGATCCAATATAAACATTATAGATGTTATAACACGTAAGTCTAGTGATTGAAAAGATAGTTTTGATGTTTATTCCCTCCAACTTGATATAGGAAAACTTTCTATATCTATAAAAAAAGTAGAACAGTATGGCAAACACTGATGAAACCTCTGTCTCAGTTCACTGCTGGTGAACATTTTGCCTCATTTGCTCACTGCTTTTCTTCTGGGTCATTTGCTAATAAGTTGGAGACATTGTGCCTTTACCCTTAGTTTCTTCAGCCTGTCTCTTCTGTAAGTCCCTAACTTGATGACAGTATAGTTATCACACCTAGTAAAATTAACAGTAATTTTATATCTGCTATTATGCTGTGTAATTCTAGTTTATATTAAAATTTTCCAGTAGTCCCAGAAGTCTATAGCTATTTTCCTTTTCACATTGTACAGTCAGCTTTAATAGTCATTAATTTGTGTAATTTTTGTGTTTAACAGACCCTTTCCCTCCTGTTCTTTTTAATAAAGCTGACATTTGGGAGAGAGGAGCAGGGGAAGTGTTCAGTTTCTTTTTTTTTTAATGTGTTCTTTTTTTTTTTTAATTTTTTTATTTGTGTGTGTGTGTGTGTGTGTGTGGCCAGCTCGGCCCACCAGGGGGCAGGGCTGGCTGGCATGTGGTGCTGGGGGATTGAACCGTGGTCCCTGTGCTTTGCTGAGCTTGTTCTAAGTAGGTGCTTTAGACCACTGAGCCATCTCACCAGCCCTGAAGTGTTCAGTTTCTGAATTTGTCTTTTTCCTGAAATTAACCTCTGTGTACTATTCTTTTTAAGTCAATAGTAGGTAGGCAATGCGAATTACTTGCTTCATTACTTAAGGGACTCTAAATATCAGTTTTCCTACTAATAACTATTACAAATAACTCCATTACAAAGGCCCATTTTGCCACTTTTGATTTGTTAGTATCCTTTACAATAATATTTGAGTCTCTGAGAACACATTCTTTTCCATCAACCATTCACCCAGTGGTTTTAATCTTTTTAATTATCTTCTTTTGAAAATAGGGGTAGTCTTTTAACTATATAATTATACACATTCTAGAGTTTGTGCCACTTTTTACTGCTATTGTGTTATACTACTGTATTATCTAAGTAGTTAATGTATTTTAGCACATTTAGATATATAAATACACTGATGGGAAATGTGCCTTTGAATTAACAGACATGTTTTACAAATACTATACTAGCTTTTACCTTCCTTTCAGGACCATTGATCGTTCTGTTTTTAAGCCAATTGTTCAAATAGCAGTGATTGAAAATTCTGAATCATTGGATTGTCAGTTATTGGCTGTTACACATGCAGGTATGTTTTTTAATTTTATCTGCTGTTGCTGTTACTTTTTTTTTTTTTTTAATGAGTCTGGGTTTTGGTGCATAGGTCAGGCTGGCATCCTCCTGCCTCAGCCTCCCAAGTGCTGGGATTCAGGCATGTGGCACCACACCTGGCACAACTTTTGATAATTCATACAATCAGAATTTGTGATTAGAAATGTTTTTACTTCTATTGTTATCAAACTGTATGAATACTTCCTAAAATTAAAGATTTTTAAAATTCTAAGATTCTTCTGATTCTGTGCTCAGAACTGTATAGCCAGGCCTGAAAGGTAAAGTCGCTCATGTTGGTGATGGAGCCTGAGCTGCCATATAGACTCTGTTGGAGCAAATTCTCCTACTGAAATGTATTTATTCACCTCTCAACTCCTAGTGATGTTGTTTTAGAAATCTATACTATATAGATTTTTGGGTTTTATTAGTACATATTTGCAGTGCATAATGATTGTGTTCTTTCATTGTGGATTATTAATACTCGTCCATGACACATCTATTGGTCCCCTTCCCGTTTGCGGAAGGCTTCTCTCCATTTCCAGTTGTCTGTGTTTTTCATTGTTCTTTATACTTTGAGTTTCTCAAAGTAAGAGAAAATCATGTAATAGTTAAGCTTATGTGTCTTATTTTGCTCAATATTATGGTTTCATAGTGCATAAGCTTAGAAATATAGTTTAGCTTATAGTACTCTCAGATCAGTGAGGAAAATGGTACATGGTTTTATTAAAGTTCTGTGTTTCTAAATGAAATTGTTGGGGCCAGGGAGATGGCTCAGTTGAATAAGCACTTGTCTGGCAAGTGCAAGGGCCTGAGTTCAGTCCCCGGTTCTGCCAAAAAAAAGAAATAAATTGTTTTGGTACACATGTACCTCAGCTCTTTGATTTTGTTACTGATGGACAATTTTGCCCCATTGTTAGGTGTTAGGTTATATTTCAGCGCTTGTCCATTTAGACAACCATTAGCACGGCCTAACTCACTGACGCTGGTTCACGTGCGCTTACCTCCGGGGTTCTCAGCGTCCTCAACAGTGGAAAAGCCCTTGAAAGTACATAAAGCTCTTTACACTAAAGGTAAGTTCTAGAATACTGTCAGATTTTATGTGGGGTTATTAAGATTGTAAGGTGTTTGAAAATACTACAAATTTATTACTAGAGTTTAGTTTTTTCAAAATATTTTTTCTAGATATTTTTATTAATATTGTTTTAAAAAGCATTTCAGCTTATGTATTTAAAACTATAGGTTTTTTTTTTTGTTTGTTTTTTGTTTTGCGGAACCAGGGATTGAACTCAGGGCCTTGCGCTTGCCAGGGAAGCGCTTATTCCACTGAGCCATCTCCCCGGCCCCTAAAACTATAGTTTTTTAATGCATACTGCTTAGTTTTAATTTTAATTTTATGAATTTTATTTGTCAAAATTGGTTTTATATTTAGTTTAATAAGCTTTCTCAACTTTTTTCTTTGGAATAGGAAAACTAGAATGACTTTTCTGATACCGTGCTTGGTGCTCCCGTATCATTATGTGCCAGTGTGAAATGTTAATGGCGAATTCTTTATGATTCATGATTAAGTTTAAAAATTATAGTTAAATATTACAACTTGGAAAGTCGGTATGTGCTTTTCCCATTGCAGGGAGATGTTTCCAGTCACTCGAAAGCCTTTTCTATGCTTACTGTGGGCTCTCTCTTCCAACATTTTATTACTCAGCACCCAAATGAAACTTTCTTTTGGAAATAGAATTTTTTTCAAATATATGCTGTGACATACCGTTATTCCATTTTTACTAACAGCTTTACTGAAATATAACTCACATAAGATTTAACCTTTTATAATGTAAAATGTACTGGGTTTTAGTTTGTTCAGTGCTATATAGCAGTATCTTAGTACGAGACTCATTACCCTAGGGGGGAAAAATCCATATCCCTTAGTAGTCACTCCTTATTCCATTCCTGTTTTCTCCCAGCGCTAGGGAATCAAAAGTTAGGTAAATTAGATTTGGATAGTGTAGTCTATGAGTCAAAATAGAGAATGTTACATTTTAATTATATTGTGTTCAAATCATTGACTACCTACTACCCTTCTATTTATTTAGACCTGCTTTGATTTCATTCAGTGATGTGTTTACAGTGTACAAATGTTGCACTTTTGTTTTTTGTTTTTGTTTTTGAGGTAGGGTCTTGGTACATACTGCAGGCTAGTCTTGAACTTGCTTACATAGCCCAGGCTAGCCTGGAATTCTTTTTGGTTCTCCTGCCTAAGCCTCTGAAAGCTAGGATTATAGTTATGTGCCACCATGACTGGTTGCACTCTGTGTGTGTGTGTATGTGTGTATGTGTTTAAAGAGGACTTGACACCATTTATATTTAAGCTTACTTATACACTTTAAGTATACATAATGATCTCATTTATCATAGAATTTTACTTGTACGATACAGCTTGATTCTTTTTCTTCCCATTCCCCTCCCCTCCCTTCAGTCCTCCTCCCTCTCATTTACAAAAGCTTTGCTTCTACTTTTTCCTTTTCTCATTTCCTTTTCCCTTACTTCTCCCTTTCCCTCCTGCCTAGATCCCTTTCTCATTTAAACATGTTCTTCCTATTTTACTAATGCTATTACACATTTTGGTCCTTATTGATACATTCCTGCACTTTCTTAAATTAATTCTCAACTTTTTTTTTTTTTGGTTTTTTTTATGTGATTCCAAATACAATTATTATTTTTATTTACTTATTTATATTCTGGTCCTGGGGATCAAACTCTGAACCTTGTTGCCAGGCAGGCACTTATGCCACTGAGCTATATCCCCAGCCCCAACAATTATGTTTTGTTTTGGTTTTTTTTTTCATAATTTTATTGGTAAACAGCAATGAGACAGTTTCAAATCAAATCGGTAGGATAGTTTCAATAACTAACACACTGCATATATTCTTCTTAGTGGTTAATTGCTGTACAAGATGCGGACTTGAGATCCTATTTACAAACACCATTAGAACAAATCATTCTATTCATTAAGAGAATGTAACTATATATCTATCCTAACCACTTTGAATACACAGATACAAAATGGACATTCATCGGTATACCCCTTTTTTTCTAAGTTCCGTTATTTGAATATTATAGGTGTGTAAACTCAGCAAAATATTCTAAAAGAGTCCAGTAGCCCATAATAGCATTGGGTCTTCTGTTTAACCTGAGTCCCCCACAGCTCAACATAACAGCATGGCTTTACTTCCTATATTTCGTCTTCATTCTTTTCTGCTGGATGGTTAAGACCAAGGTAAAGCAGGACCTATGCAACAAGAGTTGTAGCTTTTGGGTCTGAGAAGGTCAGTGAAATGCCCTCAGAATTTATCCTGAGATCCTGTACCTCAGATTGTAGAACCTTTGTCAGTGTCAGCCATGTGGATGAGTCACGGCCATTACTGAGGTTAAGCTTAACAATTATGTTTTAATGGTAGAAATGTATTCAGGAAAAGCATGCCATAGTTTTAGTTTTGTGAATAAAAGAATAAAAAATTGTTTTTCAGCTCTCCATAATGCTATAAATCTGTGTTCCTAGCAGTTCTAAAGGACTGCAAGTTTGATTCTAGTGTAGACAGATTTACATGGCCTTAACAAGACCATGTCTCAACATTTACAAAAGAGGTGGGGATATAGCTCAGTGAAAAAGTCCTGGATTCAATCCTTAGTACTGAAAGAAAATAAAACAGTTTTTTAAAATTCTGCAAACTAAAATTTAAGAGATAATTTCTACCACCTTGATATAAATAAGCTACTCTAAATTTTCATAAACAAGTTACATTTTTTGCTAATTGCTTTTGGTTCCTCAACCTAAAACTTTTTGTGGGATTGAAAATGATGCCACTAAACTTACTATGAAAAAGGCAAATTTGTAGGAGAGACTGGAATTGCACATAGGAGAATATATTTCAGTGTGAGTTGTGATAGGTAGCTTTGCTGAGACATTGTTTTTATGGTATTTATTTCTGATGTTTCGTTAAGAAAAAAATCACTTTTATTCATAGTATGTATTTGAATTACCAGAACATAAACTAGTTCATTGCATGTTATGTAAAATTGCTAATAAGTCATAATATTTTTATATGCTAAATTTTTATAAAATTAAAAATCATTGAACCCATCAATTGTGAAATATATTCTGTTATAAGAATAGTGTAGTCTGAAAATGTGAAAAAAAGTTTTCCTGCAAGAAATTCAGTATAAAATTGAGAACACTTGAGAAACTTGCCCAGCTGATATTGCATGTTGTTTCAAGGGATTTATTTTATTTTGTAACTTGTTTGTTTATACAGATTTGTATAAATTAATGTGTGTTATCTTAAAGCCCATAGAATATGCATTTCATTAGACATCATGTAACAGTTTATATATTAAACTTTTAGGTATTCTGTTGATGGCAGCTTCAGAAAATGAAGATAGTGACATTTTGTGGTGTGTTAACCATGACACATTTTCTTTCCAAAAGCCAATGATGGAAACCCAGGTAGGTTAGGCTGGGAATTATAAAAGAAACTTTTTCTATAATAGTATTTTGGTTATCATTATTGAGATGCAGAGAACTAAACATAGGGCACTGTGCTTGCTAAAATATTCTATCCCTGAGCCACTCCCCCAGTCTTTACATACTGTTTAAGAATAATATAGAAAGGAACTTATCTTCTGATTTATTGCAACTTGCTTCTAGTAATATTTTATGTTTAGGCCTCATACTAAAGCTGGGCATGGTGGTAATGCCTGTGCATCGGGGAAGCTAAGGAGGGCTGCTATGACTTTAAAGCCACCTTGGGCTGTAGAGTGAATTCAAGGGCAACCTGAACTATGTGGTGAGATCCTGTCTTCACATCACCCTCCTCTAAGAAAAGAGAAACAAGTCATACTAAAAAGAAGTTTGGTCTGTTAATGCTTTGTTTTTCCTCTCTTAGGAAATTTTTGCATACCTTTAAAGAAAACATTAAAATGTTTTCCATGATGAATGCACCTAAAAATAAATATCTTTTCTGAAATGATCTTCATCCTATTTAAATACATTGTAGTTTTAGTTCTTCAATTTTGAAGAAATACATTTTAGTTATGCCCTAGAATTTTATTCTGACAATCCCGGTAATTTTGTCTAAATTTTTAATAACTTTAAAATTATAGAAACTTTGTCAAATACAGTTGAACCCCACATGAAAGAATTACTAATAGTTTTATTATTTTATTACCTTTTTTCTACATATACAGATATACACACACCAACATACAATTGCATTGCAAATGCTTAGCCCTGGGGCAGTCATCCTGGGTTATAGGATCAAGGCTGTCCTGAGCCTACCCACTGGTTCCTCCTGGGCCTCTGTTCTTGTCCCTGCTGTTGAAATAAGAGAAGAAAACAGCATCTCTGCCCCTCTCCTCTGTGTCTTCTGTTTCGTCTGTCCTGATTACTCCTTCAAGGTCCTCTCAGTCTACTGATTAGGCCAGACAAATCAATCCCACTGTGATATGAGTAATAGGGGGCTATCTCTGTGTAAGCATTTTTGTTCCAACTGTCACTGGCTGCTTCCAAATCACTGGCTCATTCTCAGCTTTGAACCTTTTCATTTAAGAAAAAGAAAGTTTAAGTGTGAAGAGTAAAACCCAGCTCCCAAAATGAGAGCATAGTTTGAATGAGCTCTGCCAAGTGTGACATAGTTCAAGGAGCTATGGTAGGAACAGGAGGAAGAGAGACACTGAAAAAAGTACCTGTTTTACTTTTGTTATTTTAATTCTTTGAACTTTCCTCACCACCTCTTGTGAGCCTCATGCTGTGTGAGATTGTAAGAATTAAGAACTCTTTAAGACACACACAACATCCTGCTAGGGATGCTTTGGTATGGGGATAGCAGTTTAAACTGTTATGCTATGTGGCAAAAGATTTAACTGTTTTTAATACTCTTTTTTTTTTTTTTGCAGAACCGGAGATTGGACTCAGGCCCTGGTACTTGCCAGGGAAGCACTTATTCCACTGAGCCATCCCCCCAGCCCCTTTAATACTCTTATTTTATCTAAAAAAAGTTTAACAAAACTTAGCTCTGTGGACTTAGGAGATTGTATGTATGAGCACTCAGGAGAGCTGCCTGACATATAAGAAGCAGTTAATAATGTTAATATACTTTTTTTTCTTAAAACATATAATTTCAGGGGCTGGGGAGATAGCTCAGTAGAGCAAGGGCCTGAGTTCAATCCCCGGTTCCACAAAAAAAAAAAAATTCATTTGTGTAATTTTCATGTGTGACTTTTCTTTGACAACAAAAACAACCACCAAATAAAGTAGGTAAAGTTTGATGAAATTATGGTTTTTTAAAGCAGCTGTAAGAGACACTGAGAATAACTGGAAATTGTATATTGTGTGGATGTTGTATTAGGGAGGAGTTAGCATTTTTAGATGTTATAATGGTACTGTATGTAAGACCATCTTTATTTTTTGGAGATTCATGCAATGTGTTTAAAGGACAACTGTAACTTTTCAGGTAGTTCAATATAAGAAAAATACATAGAAAGAGAAAGCAAGTGTGGCACAATGGTTATAATTATTGGGAAAAGGGACAGTTGCTCTTTTTCAGCATTTTGTATGCTTAAAATGTTTTGTTCTAAAATACAGGTAGGGCTTTAGAAGACAATGATATTTATGTGTCAGTAACAAGTAAGTGCTGAATTTACCAATACAGGTGGCTTTATCCTTCAAATTTGGGAACACACAATCATTGTGATTCTTGAGAAAGATATTGTAGTAATCAGAATTCACAATTTATTGTAAGTTAACTTGATTTTGTTCTGTAGTATATAATTGTAATATAGGACATGTCTGATCAAGAGAACAGGATAGCCTGCTGTGCCAGCCCCGCCCCCTGGGGTCCACTGAGACAACAGTTGAGAATGGGCGTGGTGGCCCTTGCCTGTAATCCCAGCACCTGGGAGGGTATAAATAGTAGAATCACTATGAGTCCAATCTGGTAGTGAGACCCTGAACACCCTGTAAACCTTCCCTAAAATACAGAAAAGAAAAAAAAAAAGAGAACCGGGCAGTGAAAATGAAATGCATACTTTTGAGGTTATTCATATATTACAAGTGTTTTACTGAGAATGTTATCTATTTTTTTCAGGAGCTTTTGTTTTTATAACTTGTAAGATGTGTAGAATGTATGTTTCTTTTATACAGATGACAACCCGTGTGGATGGCCATGCCTGGGCTCTTTCTCCAATAGATGAACTGAAAGTAGATAAAATAATTACACCTTTAAATAAGGACAATATTCCAATAACTGACTCACCAGTTGTTGTACAGCAACACATGTTACCTCCAAAGAAGTTCGTTCTCCTCTCAGCACAGGTAGGTGCACATTACGGAAGAGACTAAAGAAGAGAATACTTAAATGTTTTTGTCAAATACTCTTAAGTGGTCATTTAGTACAGTCATTTTCTCAAGTAGTTTGGAATGTTTAGTCTTATGATATTTGATATCTGTAGGTACTACTAGGGATGGAGCTTAGCAGCACATACATATGTTTGTAATTGCTAAAAATGCTATAAAAAGAACTACCTCTTTTCCAGAGTTATGCTTTTTTCTAAACTAGCATTTCTGTCACTAGTGTTCAGCAACAAAATAAACATAACCTAAGTCTTTTTTTTCTAAGAACAAGCAAAATATTTTTTATTTTTCTATTTTTGTTGTTGTTGGTAAAATCCTATGTTTGTAAAACATATGCCTGCTTGTTTCACCAGTCCACCTGTCATAAATTTTTTGTGTAGCAAAGAAATTTCTGAGTCACAGGATCTGTTCAGTCCAGTGACTTGACACTTTAAAAACTAGCCCATCAATGGGGAGATGGCTCAGTGGAATAAGCGCTTCTCTGACAAGTGCAAGGGCCTGAGTTCAATCCCTGGTTCCGCCAAAAAAAAAAAAAAAAAAACTAGCCCATCAGCTACGCCCCCCACGAAGGGACCAAGGCACAGGTGTGTCAGGGAATAGAAATCCAACAGGTTATTGCTGGCTGTGCTGTTTGGCTTTGTTTAGCTCACCCGTGCATCCTTCTGCAAAAGCAAAGCCTTGCTGAGGAGCTCTCTAAGTTTGTTTGTTTTTTTCCTGCATGTGACGCTGAAAATTCTGTGACTTAACAAACCCAGGAGGGCAGAGGAGTGACCTGCCCTACTCCATAACCCAGTCAGGACTTTCCCTAGACAGTAAGTGGTAAATTACAGATGGCAGGGGACAAAAGCATGTGTAAAATAATTGCTAAACTAACCTACAGATACCTTTAATTATTATTACAGTAAAATGAACCCTGAGGTAGAGACTTGCAGTAACAATCTCATCAGTCAGGGAGGCCAAGGCAGGAGAATTGCAAGTTTCAGTACTGCCTGGGCAATTTAGGGAGACCTTATCTGAAAATAAGTAAAAGAAATAAACAAACAAATAAATAAGGGCAGAGGACTAGCCCAGGAGTAAAGCCCCTGGTTTTAAAAAAAAAAAAAAAAGCTTTTAGGAAAGCTTTAGATGTGATTGGCAAAGGTGCAGGAGCCAGGTATGTGTTAGTGCACACGTGTAATCCCAGCATGTTGGGTGGCAAATTATGAATTTGAGCCCAATTTAGCAATTTAGTGAGACCTGGTCTCACAATAAAAAATAAAAAGGCACTGGGATTGTAACTCAGTGTGAAAGCTATGTGTCCAGCCCTTAATGCCAAAAGCAAACAAAGCAAAAACCCAAACTCAGGGTGCAGCCAGAGCTCCAGCTCTACATACAAAGCCTCTCTTTATCCTGTAGGTGCCATGAAAGAGCTGATACAGGGGACCAAAGCGCCCAACCTTCTAGATGTCTGAAACACCGAGAAATGAATTCTACTTTTTTTTTTTTTTTTTTTTTTGCGGAACCAGGATTGAACTCTGGCCATTGTGCTTGCCAAGGAAGCACTTATTCTACTTAGCTATCTCCCTGGCAAGGAATGAATTCTAGAAGCAGTGAAGGTTAAGTGTAGGAAGAATTCAGGGGCCAGAGATACAGCTCAGTTATATAGCTTCCTGTCTGGCAAGCACAAGGTAATGAATTTGATTTTCAGTACCAGAAAAGAAAAAGAAGAAAACAAGGGTAGGAAGAATTTATTAAGAGAAAGAAACTTTTCTCTGAAAGAAATAGAAGGGGGCCCTGAAATTGGGTTACTTACCTCTTTTTTATTTTTTTAATAGTGTTTTCTTTTGCGGGGGGGGTTTGGGTGGGTTTGATTTTTTTTTTTTTTTTTTTTAAGATATGGCCTTACTGTAGAGGTCAGGTTGGCCTTGAACAGATTGACCTGAAACCCACAGTGATCAGAGTGCTTGGGCTACAGTCATGTGCTACCACATCTGACCCTAATATTTTAATTTTTGAGTATAAATATATTAACAAAATTCAAATGGAAATGTCCACTAAAATCATTTTAGTCCAGGTCCCTTCCCTCTAGATATGCATGTTTTTAGCCTCTGTATCCCTCCAAAGATAGCGTTACAAATATACAAACCCTCTAGTTTCCTTTCCCATCAGATCTGAACACTGGTCTTGGTGGTCATAAAGGAGGAAAAGGAATCC